TTCAAAGCGTGTCTGAAACGGAGTAATACAAAGAAATCGAATATCGAAAATTTTCCTAACACTAATTACGACCGCGCTTCCCAGCAATAGAGAATCCCCCCTCCTAATGGATTCGTTCAGCGCTCACCGCACTGAGATCTGCCGGTTTCCCAAAATAAGCAGTATACACTTGACCCGAGAGGGTTACGAGGTTCCGACTTCCGAATTTTGGGTGTCACTATATTCTTGCCCTAATTTCTCGGAAATTCGTGACTCCCTTCTCTTTTTCTGCTTTTGTGGGCCGTTCTTAGCTCGCGACCTAGAGACAATTCTCGCAATCACTCATAGAAAGTGGATTAGGGGTTTGTATATAGACGACAAGATTCTGAGTAACTCGATAGTGAAGAAAAAGCAGAAAAAACATGCCACTGCCCTAGATAGAACCCCATTTTGATCCCATTTGTACGTGCCCAATTAACTCCATCTCCACACTACGCCCTCATCCGCGCGGCTGAGATAAGAGTCCTGCAGCTTCGGTTTTCACTGAAAGGCAGGCCTTGAAGGCGGAGTCTGGAGGCGGAGTCACTGAACCTATATTGCGCTATAGCGCCCCTCCCTTACAATTTTTTGCCGCGAAACCGGTACAAGGTTGTTCGTCGCGGACCACACTACCCTCCCGACGCCATATTTTCACCTTCTATACCTGATCGCGGACCGTGCCTTTGAGCGTTGCGACCGCATTCAGCAGTTCTCGATTTGCTGCAGTTGCTAATTCAATCACTCAACTGTCGCAGCAGTATAGCGATCAGAGGCGGATCGTGGTCGGTCGTAGCCGCATGGCTCTTCAACAGAGCCCCTGAGCTCTCAAGTCGCGAAGTGTAAACGCGCCCAGTGAAATTCTTATCGTCGCTGCAGCTTTTCTTCTTTTCCTTCCCCGGTTTTATCACTCTAACCATGGATTCTTACGACACATATTTCACGCCTCCAACCTGTTTTGCCTCCCCTTCAAACTCACATTTCATTCGAAAAGAATTGTGGCAGTTAAACACAATTTTGTTACTATATTTCTTTTCATTGTTTTATTTATCGATTTTATTTTAGGCGAACAACCTGTGCGAAGGTGGTCTAGAGTCGTCAGAACTGGTCGGGTGCTATTCACATCGAGGACCAAGCGTTGAAGCTATAATGGCCCAGGACGACACAATCGGTCTTATCGAGACTACGGTAGTTGGCTTGGAGCCAGCTAAGACGTATCGATTTGATCTGCTTGCCACACCTCTACAACGCCCTCAGGCTCAATCGTTGCCATATCGAACGGTATGGGCACGAACTGCGAATTCATGCTAGAAATCGTCCTCATCATATTGTAAATACGTATTGATTACCGAGAGCTGCAGCCACACACTAGCAATGTGTGGCAAGCTCCGCCCTCAATGGGTGTGTCGGTATTACTGTTTCCTTTAGAAATGCGCTTCTCTCAAGCAGATCACTATAACTCCTTATGTGTGCAGGTAATAATAATGAAAATGCGCGCTTGCGAGCTATCCCATCCCAGTGGCTTCATCCTCTTTGTTCGATCTCGTTGTCTTTCATTCCTCATGTATTGAACCCTACAACTTTATCTGTCTCATTTAAACGATATAATAAGATATTGCATAATTACCGGTACCTTTAAATAATATGTTTTAGCGTTCAGCATAGTGTGTTATGAATGTGAAGTGGATCGTTGTTTTAGTGAAATCTTCACACACTCGCCTAGTCGTTGAATAAAACTTTTATCACAAGGCACTTTACACAGTAATGAATCGTATGTAAGGCATTTAATACAATATTATACAGTTAACTAGAGAAGAGATTCGACAAGACACATATAAGTAGTCAATAAAAATGATCTGAGAGAACAATGGCACGACGTAATATAGGCCTATAAAAAGTAGAATAGTTTAATTGGGAGTATCCATAGTCGCTTTCGCAGCAGACGGTGGGACGTGCCAGGAGCTGAATTCCTTTTCCACCAAATACTGACGCTAGCCCGCTCCTACAACTGGTGGAAAACGAGCTGGCGTCGCACCAAACCCAGCTCTCTGACACGCCCTAGTATCTGCAGTGAAAACGATCACTGAACCCCACGAGGTGGATCCTGGCACCGTCGTCAATGTGCAGGGCGTGCCAAGCGTTTCTTCGAACTATTCAGACATTTTTTCAGTCAAGCTCTGTTCTAAACTTTGTATGACCTGCTCGAAGTTGGACATGCTTCAATGCGATCTCTGCGGTAAAGGTTCGCTCCCATAGATAGCAATCATAATTTGCCCTTTAAAGTGACGTCATAGACTTCACTGCCGCAGTGAAGGAGGTCTTGGAATGTAGTGTTGAGGACTTTTCTGTATGCCAAATACGCCCACCGCCCTCCCTGAACATCCCCAGCAAATAGGCGGCACAGTTTGCTGAGCAATCCACAACCACGTGAATTAATCCAAATGAATTCAACCAACTTGTGGCGACAGTAACACTAGCTCAGCTACCTATTAGCCAGGGTCTCCAAGAAGCGTTCCCTTTTGACTAGGATATGCACCACTTAAGAAAGTCCATTACCAGACTACATTTACGTTCTGCTAAGTGGGGGCGGGGACCGTTTCCTAGGGTTGCGCGAGATTCGAACCGCGAGAACCTGCAGCTACATTTGTCACAGTTATTTCGCCTAAGTTTATCGGCCTGCAGACGGCCAAGGCGTCATCTCTTACGTCACTGCCCTTGGCGTGCGCCAGAAGCGTGCTCAGGGCACGATTAGTGACCACACAAGCGAGGGCATCAGTATAGTAGGACACTTCCTGAGTTCTACAGTCTCTCCGCCAGAACCATGCGTATCCACGAGTCAACTCTCAACGGGCAATACCTCATGGACGTCCGACGCTGCAATGCATAGCACGCGCTCCCATTCCCACGAGGTCTTCAGGGCTTCCGTAAACCCCTCTTTTCTCTTTGAGCGTAAAGTATGCAGTTTCACGTTTTACTATTCAGAGGCATAGGTATACGTTGAACGTATGGGGAAAGAACCTTCGGGCGAGATAATGATCAATGCTTGCCTCTCCATTGGCCCGCATCTCCACTCCCTATCATTAAATTGTGGTGCCAGAAAACGAGGAAAAGGTGTGGATCGTTGGCTGTCCCCGCCCGGAGATCCAGACAAGCACTGTCGCCCTTTACCGCGCGAGTCAGTTTTAGTGGAACTAGCATGAAGACCATAGCTTTAGGTTGAGCTAAGCCATAAACCTCACCCTCACTGCTCTGTCGCAGGTATTTTCCTTTACTCGGCACGTCCTACACAATGACTTCGGTGATTTACAGGTGCAAACTGTGCAGTGGCAAAATTTCGATGCTCATTCAGAAGGGAAGCAACCGGGCTTTCAACTGTAGCCGGTTGACAAGGCAGCACCTACAGATATGACAAGATTTCTACAATTCCCAAGTACTATAACCTGCTGAAAGATAATGATAGTCACGCCTACATAGTTCTCCATGGGATTGCCGTCATGGCCGCAAAAGGATGTACTGGTGTGATAGCAGATACCATTCCAGGAGCGATAGCTGCCATTTTTAGGTTTTGTTGGTATTGTAAGGCTAGCAAGTGTTGAGCCATGAAACTGAAGTTTGGTGGTGGAGGCCGTAAATTCGGTGCCATAACCGTGGGAGGTATCCTTGTGGGAGTTAAGGTTGTCAGACTGCTTGGTGTTGGTGATGATGGTGCTGGTGCAAGAGAACGTGACTCTTCCGTATTGGATGGAGACGGTACAGCAGCGGTTTTTCGTCGTTTAGCAGCAGTCGGACCTTCGGAAGTGGATTCGGTACTGGATGGTGACGACACAGCTGATGTAGGCGTAGAATCGCACTCCTTTACGCCATGCGTGGACAACGTGTCCTCCAATGTGGCAGCGACGTTGAATGTCGGTGTATGACCTTAAAAAAACGATGAATCGGCTGTAGATAAGACACCGCAAGGATAAGAGAGACATGCAAATTTTTTTTATTTTTTTTCAATTTTCCTCCAATTTGAATCAACGCAGCTACCATTGCCCAAGTTGACGATTCCAAGTCTTCAGTCAGTTCAACAAGATACCGCCCATAAAATGCCCCTATACTGACATCGCCTGTTCCCAGGGAACTATCCTTGATTACAGTGGAGTGGAAGAACCAATAAGAAGCGATTTCTGGCTTGTGGGAGTACTACATGGTACCCAGCCAGGCTTGTACCATTGATGCCCCCTCTAGGGCTCCGAAAAACAGCTCGTAATGCCACCTTGTGAGGATCAATAAATTCATGTAACAAAAATAGCTCACTTGCCATTTAGCAGCTTCACAAGCCTTTTTGGGAGCTAACAAAAGGAACTAACGAATCAGCAAAATGACTCCCCTATTAAACTGAGTGGTGCCAATTTTTTATATATTTATTCCGATTTCAACCAAAGAAAAGGTTACACTGAGGGGAAATTTTGATAGAAGGAGAAAATTAGATTACATACCTCTCAAAGCTCGTAGTTTCTTGAGGTAGTCGACTGTCATTTCAAGGATGTCAGCTTTTTCCCATTTGGCATGACCGGCAGACTGAAATGTGAAAAACATCCGATGATGAAACAAATGGAAAGCTTTGAGAATCATTAGAATAGTGAAACAATCTCGATGTGGGCGCCGTCTTCCACCAGTTATTAGGAGAATGAGATGGCGTCGTGCTGAATCCAGCCCTCTGAAATGTCTCTTCGATAAGCGCACCACCGAAGACACATTTCCCCTGAGCTGAGTAGGGCCTCCCTTGTTAAAGTAATTGGAACCTTAGTTCCAGAGGTTCGCTAATTCTCTCGACTCTGCGACGAGGGCGCAGCGGTCCTCATAAGTTGGAGGAGCGCACCCAAGCCGAGTAAATTTGCCTACCCGATCCCATATCTGCAAAGTGGGTGTGACGCATTACTTGCATTCTGTTTAGGACCTTTCTTCTCCCTCTCGCCTATCCTACCGCTCGTCTTTTTTCTGTTCTTGTTCTTTCATTTCTCATTAGTTTGTCGCTCGAACATGTCCCGCTTTTTCGAATACCCGTCCAATCACAGACCGCTCTTGGCGAAATGGTCCATATTATCTTGACTTGTACGGATTCTTGTAGCGGAATTCATGTTTGGGCCTCCGAGCCCAATAACTGTGACTGTTATCACAAGAATGCTGAGTTATGGGCAAAAGTCGAACCCCAGGCGGGAGTCGAACCCGCACCGCTTTCCGGGCGAGTGCGCTATCCGTTACGCACAGTGATTGATTGATTG